TATGAACTATGATCAAAAAACTTTTGACCTCAGGCTTTCAAAATTTGTCTACTTTTGTTAAAATATATGTGTGTATGCAGTATATGCAGGATACAATGGTGTGTGTGTGTGTGGGTGGAGCAGTCATAAAACATTTGCTATTCTCATATGAGCTGTGATCAAGATTTGACCGGATAGTTTCAAATAATTGACATTTTTATAAATATAATTTAATTTTTATAGCTTTGTTATTCTCTCCATAAGAAGACGTAGACAGTCGGGAATTTGACTAAGTGTGACTACTTGATCATACATATCAAATTTTACTTTGTTTATTAGTCAGGATTTGCCATGCATCGGCTAACATCACACCTTCACGTCTGTTTAAACTGTTGGGATTCACCCATATATGTAGGGCTTCTGCAGTTAATCTTTCTTGATATGAACCAAAACCTTTTTGTAAAACCTTAGTTTTATCAAAGTCGATTTTGTGTCCCGTTTCTATTGAATGTAGCGCAATCGCTGAGTTGTTTTCTAGCTTCTTCAAGTCTGCAGAGCTCTTTGGAACCACCTTTAGACATTGTTTATGCTCTTTCATTCTTATATTTACCTGTCTAGAAGTTTCTCCTACATATACTGCGTTACAATCCCCACAATTGATCTGGTATACGCAATTCTGCTGGTTTTCTTGTTCTATTTTATCCTTAACCTTCACCAGCAATGAACGTAAGGTGTTAGATGCACGAAAGTACACTCTTATGTTATGTTCGTTAAGGATTCGCTTTATTTCATCAGACGTTTCTTTGCGATAAGGAACCACCGCTGTACTAACCCAATTCTTAGCAGCAGGTTTTGATTCATCCTTAACTTCACATTTCAAGTATCTTTTTATGAAGGCTTTAGGATAATTATTTGACTCAAGAGTGGATTGAACTAATTTTAGTTCCTCGTTAATATCTTCCTCCTCAGTAACTAGACGTTTGGCTCTGTTGATCAGATTCTTGGCCACAGTTACTTTGGTGGTAAATGGGTGAGCTGAATGGTAATCTAGGTATCTATCCGAATTTGTCGGCTTTCTGAAAATGTTTATTTTAAATTTGCCGTCTAATTTTCTTTTTACTAAACAGTCCAGAAACGCCAACTCATTTTCATCGGATTCAACCTCTTTGGAGAACTTGATGGTTTCTGACATATTGTTTATTAACTGAAAAAGTTCATTTAACAAACTACGTTTGATTATGATGAAGGTATCATCTACGTATCTTAACCACATCTTTGGGGGACTAAGGCATCTCATAATTGCATTTGTTTCTAATGAGTGCATAAACAGATTGGCGACTAGCGGAGATACTGGTGATCCCATAGCAATGCCTCCTATTTGACGATAAAGAACCCCTCTGAACGTAAATAACGTGGATTTAAGACACAGTTCTAATACCTTCATAATTTCGTCGGGATTTAAAGGACAACGATCACTGAGTTCGTCGTCAGCACAAAGTAAATTATAAATAATACTTAAAGAATCATTAACGGGTACATTCGTGAATAATGAATAAACATCGAAACTTGCCATTATTTCATCTTCTTCTATATTAGTCAAATTTATTTTCCTCTTAAATTCATACGAATTTTTCACTCCATGCTCCACTTTCATTTCATATGGGCTAAGAATTCGATAAATGTATTTTGAGAGTTTGTATGTTGCTTCAATTAAGCAATAATCCAGAAAACCATCATTTTGAAAATCCGTCTAGTCGTAACGGTCTGGATGCGAACAAAGTGGTGGTCAATCTCTCTGACAGAAATTTATCAGATGATGAACTATCCCTCCTTAAAAAGGGACTTAATTTCAATTTAAACAAAAGACGTTTATCAGCCTTTGAAGTAGTCCCAGCAATTGAACCATCGTTAAAGTCAGTGACAGCCGAAGAGGCAAACGTCATTAGACACAAAATTGCAGCAGTACTACTGAACCAGAAGCCAAATGCGCCGAATATAAATAAAAAGGAGCAAATGGCATTAAGACAACTACAGCAAGATAAGTCAATTGTAATTACAAGAGCAGATAAAGGCAATATCACAGTTGTCATGAACTCTGCAGATTACGAAAAGAAGGCCATTGATCATCTTAATGATGGACCTTATGAAAAATTCAACGCGAATAAATCAAGAGCGACATTAAATAAGCTGAAGGCTGAAACAAGCAAAATGCTACAGTCAATAAAAGAAAAGCTTGGTGTATCACTTTGGTTTACTCTGGCTCCAAAAAGTTGCAGCCCCTGTAGATTTTATGGGTTACCAAAAATACACAAACCAGAAGTACCATTGCGTCCAGTAGTGGATTTTACTAACTCTCCAACATACAAACTCTCAAAATACATTTATCGAATTCTTAGCCCATATGAAATGAAAGTGGAGCATGGAGTGAAAAATTCGTATGAATTTAAGAGGAAAATAAATTTGACTAATATAGAAGAAGATGAAATAATGGCAAGTTTCGATGTTTATTCATTATTCACGAATGTACCCGTTAATGATTCTTTAAGTATTATTTATAATTTACTTTGTGCTGACGACGAACTCAGTGATCGTTGTCCTTTAAATCCCGACGAAATTATGAAGGTATTAGAACTGTGTCTTAAATCCACGTTATTTACGTTCAGAGGGGTTCTTTATCGTCAAATAGGAGGCATTGCTATGGGATCACCAGTATCTCCGCTAGTCGCCAATCTGTTTATGCACTCATTAGAAACAAATGCAATTATGAGATGCCTTAGTCCCCCAAAGATGTGGTTAAGATACGTAGATGATACCTTCATCATAATCAAACGTAGTTTGTTAAATGAACTTTTTCAGTTAATAAACAATATGTCAGAAACCATCAAGTTCTCCAAAGAGGTTGAATCCGATGAAAATGAGTTGGCGTTTCTGGACTGTTTAGTAAAAAGAAAATTAGACGGCAAATTTAAAATAAACATTTTCAGAAAGCCGACAAATTCGGATAGATACCTAGATTACCATTCAGCTCACCCATTTACCACCAAAGTAACTGTGGCCAAGAATCTGATCAACAGAGCCAAACGTCTAGTTACTGAGGAGGAAGATATTAACGAGGAACTAAAATTAGTTCAATCCACTCTTGAGTCAAATAATTATCCTAAAGCCTTCATAAAAAGATACTTGAAATGTGAAGTTAAGGATGAATCAAAACCTGCTGCTAAGAATTGGGTTAGTACAGCGGTGGTTCCTTATCGCAAAGAAACGTCCGATGAAATAAAGCGAATCCTTAACGAACATAACATAAGAGTGTACTTTCGTGCATCTAACACCTTACGTTCATTGCTGGTGAAGGTTAAGGATAAAATAGAACAAGAAAACCAGCAGAATTGCGTATACCAGATCAATTGTGGGGATTGTAACGCAGTATATGTAGGAGAAACTTCTAGACAGGTAAATATAAGAATGAAAGAGCATAAACAATGTCTAAAGGTGGTTCCAAAGAGCTCTGCAGACTTGAAGAAGCTAGAAAACAACTCAGCGATTGCGCTACATTCAATAGAAACGGGACACAAAATCGACTTTGATAAAACTAAGGTTTTACAAAAAGGTTTTGGTTCATATCAAGAAAGATTAACTGCAGAAGCCCTACATATATGGGTGAATCCCAACAGTTTAAACAGACGTGAAGGTGTGATGTTAGCCGATGCATGGCAAATCCTGACTAATAAACAAAGTAAAATTTGATATGTATGATCAAGTAGTCACACTTAGTCAAATTCCCGACTGTCTACGTTTTCTTATGGAGAGAATAACAAAGCTATAAAAATTAAATTATATTTATAAAAATGTCAATTATTTGTAACTATCCGGTCAAATCTTGATCACAGCTCATATGAGAATAGCAAATGTTTTATGACTGCTCCACCCACACACACACACACCATTGTATCCTGCATATACTGCATACACACATATATTTTAACAAAAGTAGACAAATTTTGAAAGCCTGAGGTCAAAAGTTTTTTGATCATAGTTCATACAATTTTTGTTTTGTTTTGTTTAGCATACCTATTGATTGTACTATTGTACTTTTGTATAAACATACAATTCTATTTATTTATGTTTGATACATGTTGATACCTGTTGCATGATTCATGATTGGACAGGAATTTTAAAAACAAGATGTGTCCCTTAATGGATAAACTTTGTTGTGTTAATTTCGATTAATTTCCCTGAAGAAGTTCGGACCAGATTGCCGAACGAAACGTTGGAATTAATCATTTCAATTTCGCTGAGATTTTACAAATATAACTTTATAAATGTCTACTTCTCACTCAGCGCTCAATTATTTTGCAACTATCCGATCAAATCTTGATCACAGTTCGTATGAATAAAACCTATTTTATGCTGTTCTGAACTTCATGTCAGATATCTTCACGGAATTGTTAGGAAATAATAGCTAATGCCCGATAGTGACTTATTACAGGATGGAGTTTCCTGGAATTCTTGTCAGAAGTCGTGACCAGTGAGGTCCATCCATTTGGGAGTGAGGATAGAGTTCTCATCGATTAAATTGGTTGGTGGTCGCGTTATATGCATTGGTAGAATTGGTGGAAATTAGAATTCATGAACTGGTCATTGAATTGGGTCCCAGTGGCTGAATAGTATACGAGCTTGCCTTGTAACCAGAAGGTCCTGGATTTGAGGTCCGGTGGTGGGTGAGTATTGTCGATGATTGCCAAACTCGGACGTAGGAAACGGCTGTTCAGTACTCTCACCTGGTTTCCAATGGTTCTCAAACTGATATCAATCCGTGGGAAAACTTGAAAAACAAACCTAATCCTTACAAATCAACTCTTGAATATAATCATATATATGTGTAGTGGTAATGCACACCTCACTTTCGTCTATCCTCATGTTTGACAAATACAACTCGCTTTGCACGCTTTCGTATCATTTTTGTGTAAACGAATAAAATTTATTGTATTGATTTGTTAATTTATGCAAAAATTCCCTATCAGCTTAAAAGTTGTATAACAAAAATTGAAGAAGAAACTGCTCAGATCAATTCAGTTCTTGAAACTATACGAAATATGAAAAATAATATTAACCAAACTGTGGAAAAACTATGTGGCTCTAAATCAGGTAGGTATATTTTGTTAGTTTAACGTTTAATTTTTTTAAACGCCTTTTTTTAATGGCGCGACTGAGAGAGAAAGTCGAAAGGATTGATGCATATCTAGCTCTAGGCTTTAAATAGAAATATAGATTTCACTTTAAATATTTTTTACCCACCCCTCCCTCTTTTTTCTTCATTCCTCGAGTAGGGGAGTGACTTCCAGCTGTGAAGTGTCAGTAGCGGTGGTGCTAGTTCCTAGCCTCACGCCTAACAACCTTTCCCTCTCTGTTCCGGGGTGACTTCTCTGCCTAATAAACTAGATTAGGTGTGTTGGCCGGGTATCGAACTCTGAGCCACCTGTGTGTAGTTGACGGGCATTCCACTATTGTTATGTTGCTGCTGCTGAGTGGTTAATAGTAGTTTTCCCCGTCGCCAAATTGTTATGGACTGGTCGAGAAACCAATAGTCCTGTCGCAAGAAGGCGGAAATCAGAAGACCACTAGGTTTGCGATGATACTTCTATTTTCCAAACACAAGGAGAAGCAATAAGTGGTATCACACCAAAGTAAGTAAGAAGTGTCACACAAATTGTGAATGCGAAATATATATATATATGACAAGGGTGTGAACAATCATTAGACAGTCTTAACATGAATGGCTAATTATAATGAAGTATCGATCCATATATACATAGCGAAATATAGCAGACATGTCAACAACCCCATATATGTATATATGTCACCAAGCAACGGACTGTCAACAAACACTCATATTATATATAATATAAGGGGAATATACATTGTTAAAGGAGACAGGTTCATACAAGTGAAATGGTCACAGACTAAGCGAGCAAACAGAAAAAGAGACCAACATACACACACACATAAATATATATATGTGGATACATATCAACTATTGAACCACTGACACCGTTTTCCTGGTAGGCTTAAGTAAATATCTTTTTATTGGTCATATTATATCCATGATGTTGAATTTTTTGTATAAAAACATTCAGCGAATTCGATCAGTGTTTTAACATTGCAAAGATGTGAGACTAGATTAGATATTTCTGTAAACTTTTATTGTTCGTATGATTTTTATCCCAGTACACACTTTCTTTGAGAATCCTTAGTTTTCTTATTCGATGTCTGAAATGCCTATCACACGGAGTAATAAATTTATACAGACAATATTGTCGTAAATTGTTGCTAATTTAAATCTTACCTGAGGACCTAAAGTTAAAAATTAAACCAGCATTGTTTGCTCTTTCATGTATTAGGATTTATCGAAATAAGGAACATATCTCTGTTGACATCAGAACATTCCGCTAGTATAAACAATTATAGTTGTACTGTATACCAATAGAAAAATTACAACAAGATGTTGGAAAGTATTCGCGTATTTTGACACTTTTTTGATCCTTTACCCCATTGGTAAAGTAGTTTTTTTTCGTTTTTCAAATCCTAAGTATTATTATTCCCTTAGGTTCTGGGCGGCGGAACATTGGGCTTCAACAGCACATCTCTATTTCACCATCTTCTCTGTATTTCTAATTATCTGTTTTCCATAATTTTCCAAATGCTTTCATCCTCTCCTTTCATTGTTTCCATATCACCCTCAGATGTCCAACTCGTTTCCCATAGGGGTCTCATTGAAGAGTGTGACAACACGTGATGTCACCCAATGGTCTCCACATTATGTGTCTGTTTTATATCGATTTCCTTCGGCATATCTAGTGGGCAATAGGTTCTTGGTCGGTTTGTTTGTTCCCAGAGACCCTTGTTTTTCTACTTCTTTCTAACCAGCCATCAGATCTTCCGTATGGAGCCAGCAAAGACAGCTGTCGATAAACGTTTTGCAGCAGGCTGTCTGTTGGAAATGCTTTTCATAGCACACTAACTAAGTCTCTGGACTTAACATTAGTGTTTATTTTGTATGTTAAGCTTTACATATTATCGAAAGAGAAATACACTTTAAACATCTGATGAAGTGATAGATAGAATTAATTTTTTTTGTTTAATCATTATAAATTGTTATATAATATAAATGCAAAGATAAAGTAATCACTGTAGTATATGTTTTCCCTTCCTAGTTGATGATTTATGCCGTCATGTTAGTGAACGGAATCAACGCATAAAACAATTAATCAGCTCTCTAACCTCTGTTGAAATTTCAACTGATAGTAACCTTCAAAGGCAAAAGAGGAGAATCAAACAAAATAACTAATAGTTTATATTTCTCCCTTCCTTTGTAATTGTTTGAATAGCATAACGCGTGTATATATTGCGCAATAAAAAATGTCTACCTAATCATAATGCATGTTTAACAGCTTTAGGCAAATGAAACTTTTTTTCTAATGTAAAAGTTTTATTCATGTATAATTTTTTCTTAAGTGTTTCTGTGTTCACACTGTGACATTTATTGTATTAAAATCAATAAAAGCTGAAAATTATCTTTTGACTTTTTGACGAAATCTGAATAGGTTAGGAGGATTTTATCATGATGACCTGACATCATTTATAAAGAACTGTTAGAAAACCTACAGGGAGTATTGGAAAGCTTTTTCGTCCTAGCTTGGGACTCTTCAGCACTACGCACCACCACTGGAGTTCGAACCCAGTACCTTGTGGTTACAAGGCGAGGTCGTAGACCATTCAGTCACTGGGGCCCATGAATTTTAACTCCTACCAATTCATGATATAAAGCGACCACTTCACAATGAATAACCGGAAGTATACTTCTGATTATTGATCAAAGGATATACATGTGTGTGTGTGTGTGTGTATTGCGCAGCGAATCGCCCTGTGCTTCTTTATGTCTGAGATATAGCCGTTGGAAGTGGAAGATATGAAAAGAATGGTTGTCTTCGACCACATACGTACGTATACGTTCTATATCTTGTGTCCAGTGCTTTAATATGATGAGTGATATTTAGACTAAGCTTAGTGTTAGGTAAACAGGGTAAGTCAGTTGATGAAATTGTGATGGTGAATCGATTCAGATACCTGGACACATGTTATGCATTCCTAGCCACCGTCTTCCTTGACGAGCAAGGTTAGCTAACATCAGATTAGGTTGAGAAGGAGTTAGGGATTGTCAAATCAAAACCCGGTATCAGTCGATGACGTGTATAGTTGTTGGTTTGAATCATGGTGGAATATGTAGACAGATTGGTTGAGAATCTCGAGAAACCAAGAACTAATGGCTTGAGACTTTTGGAGATAAGTACTCAATGGAGCTTATGCGTTCACTCTTCTTTCTCCTGTACCTTTCTGCCCACTGTAGTACAATTAATGACAATGACAACTTGAAAGACATCTTTTAACTTATCACTGTGCATGCTTCTACATCCCATCTCTCATGTTAGGCAATACGATAAGATGAATAATATTGAGGTTAAGCGTCGAGTCTTAGGGAAGGAACATTTCTGATTGACTGTGGAACTGAACGTAACACGTAGTTTAAATAATTATTGTGATTGTGTATTCCTCTGTGTGTTATCTTCCAAGTTAACTGAAGTTCAAGTAGTTGGTTATATTAGAAATCTTTGTGTTTTTGAAATGTGAAGTTTATCAGTTGACTGAACTTTTCATTGAAAAACACAGTGAAATCCTAAAGGCCCTACATGCATACCCTTATAATAGTTAATGTGTTAAGAAAGTGAAATACCCTTCATAAACTTGCATTTTTAATCATTTATGAATTTTGCGAAGTTTTTACGAGAGATTAAAGTTCAAGCTCTCCACATACGCATAAATGTTAGCTGTTATTAAGAAATACACTCAGACACAATACTGAACAGTTTTGATTGATGTAGGACATCAGGTAGGCATTTGGAATCTCTTCAAAATAAACAAACAAGCTCAAGCCTTTTGTAATTCACAGAGTAAATCACTATCACATAATGGCTAAAACCTGTAGTAAGTTTTCCTCTACCTTGATTATTATTCGCCTTCTAAGTTAAATTGATTATATCATCTCTTATTAGATATAAATATTGATTTTTTTTTCATTCTAACTGTGTTACATCATGATTTATTAAACCTCATCCTTCATATGTCTGATATCTAACGAAGTGAACTTAATGATATTAGATGGTTGGAGGCAATCGGCAGGAAGCCTTGCTTGACCTAGGTTTCGTGATAGTTGGCACTCATCAGCAAGGCATATCTGCAACCTTGAAGGAACGTATGTCCTTTCTGAGATTTGAACCTGCGTCACCCAGTGCTGCAGTCAGAGACGTTACCACTGAGCTATTCAGGCTCGCGATTGACCTCCTGTAGGAGACTATAGTGGATATTTTGATTTGATACTAGTAACTGGTGTGATGTGTCTAGTCCTTCCATTGGTGCAGACTGAATTCCATCAATCAGGTTTGTAATGTGGCCACCATTCTAGGTAGCTCGCCACCACGTTGCACATTGACTTGATGATATTAGATAGTTGGAGGCAATCGGCAGGAAGCCTTGGACCTAGTTTCGTGCTAGTTGGCACTCGTCAGCAAGGCGTATCTACTGAACTTAACTCATCACAATGTTTTTTTTTTCTATTCTGTTTGCTTATTGACAATTTTCTTACAACTCGCATAATATTCTAATTTATGTTCATTAATATATCTTGTTGCCACTTTAACTCCCCGCTTTCTTTCTTTTTTGGAGAAGCTTTAGTTGTACTGCATACATATAATTACATCAACATTTTATTATAGCGAAAATATTCATTCAAGCATCTATAAAACGCAAAATAATTGAGCAAAGAATATCCTTTTCGATAATTTCCTCTTCTGGCTCTACAATTATATATATGTTTATATCCTCTTTTGCGTTCGAGAGTTATAGATAAACTGCCTAATTTCACCTCTTCCATGTGTACCTACCAAAGTAACTGCTCCTGTGGAATGAGCCAGTTACATAGGCTGTACAATTAGGCGTGTTCCTCGTCGGACTTCCGAACATCACGCTGCTTAGTGATGGTTAAGTAAAGGACAAACAAAATCTATTCGTAGCGCTATTCTATCTTATCTAGTGGATACAGAATACAAGATTGATGTTAACCAGCCTTTCAAATTCATTCACCGCATACCTACGAATTTCAATTTCTGCTTAAGAGTTCGTCCACTAAATATTACTGAAGCTATCTGTTGGGATCCACATTAAGAAGCCTTATTTATGCGTCCAAAAGAAGCTAGTTCAGACACCATCCTTACCTCGGCCATCCAGGTTTGAATGATCCTCAGTTTTTGTGGAAATTTCCCTAATTTTAGTTAATATTCTATTTGCTATTATATCTTTATTATTATTATAATTTAAGCACGTTTAATGAACTCTAATTCCATCGATCTTACTTTACAAATCGATATTATTAAAAAAAAACACTAATATTGTTATTGACTAATATTCTAGAATATTCTATGTATATAAACATATATATATAGTTGTAGAGCCAAAAGAGAAAAATTAGGATATTCTTTGCTCAACATTTTATTAGCCTGACATTTCTGTTTTCTTGCGAAGACCATGATCATTCTTTAATTATTGTCCGACACTGCATTTCCAAGAAGCTATGGCACGTCAAAATTGTAATAAAACTGTTAACTCTTATTATTAAGGTTATAAGCGGCTGACAAGATACTCAGGGAGGAGATAAAATGAACCTGTTTCATGTTAAATCTAGAGATTTAAGGTTACATTTCATGATTTCTAGCCCACCAGAAAGTTAAATGAAGTGGTTTAATGGAACCAACAGAAAACATCACCAAATAAGTTTCACTCTAGTATCACACATGGACAACTAGGATTAAACTATACTAATTAGTAACAAAAGGAGAAACAGAAAACGTGAAAATATATTGCATAAGACAAATTTATATATATATATATATATATGTTTATATTATTTTTGGAATAGCTGCTCTAACATATGATTCAATAAAACCTGCTTGTTTTCCTCGTAAAACTTTGAAAAGACCTTTATCACCCCATTGTTCATTCCATGAGTTAACACATAACCAATAAGGTGTATTGTTTTCATAACCCCAACCAATTATTCGTATAGTTATCCAGCCAAAATTAGATGATTTTGGTGATGGAAAATAAACTCCTGATGTATAATTTAGAAGATCTACATTTACAGAGATACTTGCTACCACTGGTCCATTCATTAGAATCTCCTTTTGAATATCTTCTGCATTATCTTCGACGTTGTAGAATTTCTCACCTAATCAAATAATATCAATAGAACAATTAATAGTAAACAGTTGACTGGAATGTGATTAAGGTTAAATTGCATGACCTTAACATATAGTTTGAGCGTAAAGCCCAGAACCATCTTTCGGGATAGTATTACGACCCGACAACCCATAATTTCAAGGAAGCGTACTATGACCACGGCAGAGACCGGATTTTCTCAACATCCATCAACTCTAACATGACGCTACAAAGCCGAAAAAGGCCTATATTTCACCTCGAGCAAATAGGGTCTGTCAGTGACTGACAGTGTCGTGGGCCGTTCATAGGCCGCTAATCCGCGACTTTTATTTCAAGGCTACGCATCATTTCGGCGAACGACAGGCCCTAATACCACCAGTATTCATGGCACCAGTCAAAGCTACATGTCAGTGCCATGATCCTAGCAGAACTGGAACCCCCCGCTACGGTAATACCCGGTCGCACAAATGGTTCATGATAAGGATTAACGCATGTTGTAGCGGTTAGCAATAGTTACTCCTGTCGTTTACCCGCACTTGATTGAATTTCTTCACTTTGACACTCAGAGCACTGGGTAGAAATCACATTGCGTCATAACCGGTCAGCGGACATCGCAATGCTTTGTTTTAATTAGACAGTCGGATTCTCCTGGTCCGTGCCAGTTCTGAGTTAGCCGTCGCGCGCCAAACAATGGAAGCACAGTCGCTTGACGCAACGCAGAGCAAGTCCACGCGCGTTGCTAGTCATACAACACTAACAGCTGAAACTGCCCACGATCGATCGCGGTCAGAGTCCAGTAACTCCACAACAATGCGCACCGAAGCACAAAAAGCAGCAAAGAAACCAGCCTCCAACTGGACCGACACGCATCTGATTTCGGCCTATCTGACTCGCCCCCCAGAGCTAATCCTTCTCCCGAAGTTATGGATCCAATTCGCCGACTTCCCTTACCTACATTGTTCAGTTTTCAGAGGCTGTTCACCTTGGAGACCTTCTGTGGATATGGATACGGCCTGCCATGAAAATTTTACTGCCCTGCTGGGATTTTCAAGGGCTGACAAGAGCGTTCCGGACACCACAAGAAGGGTGGTGTAAACGAACTCAACAATAGCCTTCAACCGACCAATTACATTAAATCAGGAAGACCAGGAAAGGGACACTACATTCAAAAAACATATGTTCAAAGAAATGATAAGCAGGATACCTTTCTTTAAAATATTGTGACAATAACTACTAGTTCCTCATAGCAGTATTTCTATTCATTCACATGACTCTTGCCTAAAGCCAGGAGTTAGAAATTATTGATTAAGGCATTTAACAAATAAAATCTTTTAGACTGTTAGTTTGTAGGGATTTCACCGACCCTAAGTTTAATGATGAATTGAAATCAGTCAGAGAACCACTGAAATCTAGAGAGTACTAGACAGCCGTCTCGTCCTTGTTCGAAACTCTTCATCAGTACAAACACAAGGATCGAAACCAGGGGTCTCAGTTTACAAGACGAACTAGTATACAATTCAGTCACTGGAAAAAAACTTGACAATGACATCATCATCGAAAAAAAGAACATCGAATGTCAGTCAACTGTCTATCTATGCTTCATTATATAGCTGCTGAATTAGATTCATAAATACTTTGATTGAACACTTCCAGACTGAATTCTATCGGTCAAGTTTGCAATGTATACACCATTCTAGTTAGCTCCCCATAAATGTTTGTGGCACTGCACTCTATTTTGTTGAAGCAGTTTCTAAATTACTACACACTCGACACTATTGAAGGCCTTTTCGAAGTCGGTGATATCACATATCAAGTGATTCAGATAGGTAGCTCAGCGAAGCGTTTGAAGTAAATACAAAAGCAAAACAAGACTGCATATCATCACAGATAAAATTCCTGATTGTGGTGGACTGAATCATACAATAGTAGACTGTTGGGAATGAGAAGATAGGCGGGCATACATCGGACCGATGAGAAGACTCCCGAAGATTTGGACTTGGAGGACAATTTATGCCTAGCTGCGCACAAACTCGTATGTCTGCAGGTGGAAATCAATGTGCTGATAGAAGAAGCAGCGAAAACATAAAGGAATATGGGTTGGCACAGAGAAGACAGAGGTGATGAAGATAACCAACCAAATAACAAAAATCACTATCACCAGAAGATAACTAAGAAAGTCACCTAACCACAGACGCCACGGATGAGGATATTGATGCTATTCATGGTCGAAAAAGTGACACAGACCTTTATTGCTGAGGAGTCTACAGCGCCAAACACAAGAAATAAGTACCGAATTTTCAACACTAATGTCATGTCAGTGCTTCACTACTGTTTAGCGATATCTGGAGTCACGAAAAGCGTCTCCAGTAAGCTGCAGACTTTTATTAACAGCTTCCTTCTGCACTGGTTTGATTTTGATGCTCAGCAGGATGGCCAAAGTGGTTGTGCAACAAGAAACTCTGGCAACTAACCAACTAGTAATCTATTGCCCAATAAATATCCCGAAGGAAAGGGTTATGCATTGGACCATACGCTAAGAATCTCATTGTGTGACATCGTGTACACCGGCCAGCCGAGTGGAATCCGAATGGAAAGCGACAGGTTGGTTGTCTGAGAGTGACATGGAAGAGATTGTGTGAAGAGAAAGTAGAATTTTATGCACAATCATGGGGCCGGCTTAGCAGAGGCAGCAGAGAACACTTGGTGAATTGCAGATGTGATGCTGGAGCCTTATTTTGCAATGGTAACCCAGAAAAATAATGAATAATAATATAAGTAAGAATAAAATTCCATCCTTAACGGATACATAGTCTTGATTTAAAGTAAACACACTGTAGAGATAAATTATTCCCCGAAATTATTGACCACAGCAATCATCACTGAACACTGGATGCTGACCCTCGCTGTTTAAGTCGACTTGTTTAGCTGAAGGCTTCCGGTCAAGCAACCATGCCATTTGCTACTCCGTTGTGTCACTTTCGTGCACGATCACTAACCAGTTAATCAATCAGGATGCAATCCGTTTTGGTCCCGAAACATGTCTCGTAATCTGGACAACCAATCCCGTTCTTTGCTTTGCCTTTGGTTCACGAGAAACGAATACTATAGAAGTTGTTGGTATAAGATATTGCGCTAGTATACTCCTTACAATTCGCGAACGTCCATACCGTCAGCCTCTAAAACACCCATGCAGCAATAACTGCTGTGAAAAAAGTAAATTCAAATCGGTCGTATCGATGAAAATTATTCAAATTATCAGTCGAAATAATTTCTAGGTTCAGCTGATTTATCGCTGAAGTCAAGTGACCTAGTGTACTTGTTAAATATTGAGTGAAATCAGTGATGTGAGCAGTGGGTTTCTCAGAAAGACTGAATTAAAATATGACAATACTTGAATACCGAATATGAGAATAGGATTGTCTAAATATATAAAACAGCGACTGTGCAGGGACTAGATATAACGAAGGCAGAGAAAAGGTGATTATTGTATATTACTGTTTGTGTATATTATTCTTCGGATTGGCCATACTCTGAAGAAACCATCAAATGACATCACTAGACAAGCCATTGCTCGAGTGGAACCTGAAAAGGAAGCGGCGAGTCGGTCGTCGGTGCAAGGGTGACTTGGAGGAGGTCATGTGAAGAGGAGATGAAAGCATGTGGGCAGACTTGGAGCCAGGTGAAAACTCTAGCAAAGAACCGAACGCAACGGAGACGCGCGGCTGAAGCCCTACGTTCCTCTAGGAATTAAAGGAAATATTATTATTATTATTATTCATTTATCAAGGGTATGAGACAGTTTCCACAATGAAATCTTTAATTCTAAAAGTTATCATGAAAAGGACAATGATGAGTCATTTGCGTTAAATAACGGATCGCTCAAAGTTTCCTATATGCTTAGTCAAGTTAGATCACAAACTGCCACCAGTTAGATAACTATTACAATTCAGAAAGTAATGGACAGATGGTTCAGTCTAGCTTGAAACACCTGATGAGTGTGCACCCTGGACTTTCAAGTCACTTGGCGAGCCCGTCAACCATTCAGACAATCTGTGAATTCTCAGAAATTAAAATTCATGAGCCGTTGGATCCTGTCTTAATTTCTATTCCCTATTGGTTTGTTGGTGCGTAGTCCTAAACTAGAGCAAAATAGCCGCCTAGTACTCGAAGGTTTTCAATGGTTCTCTAAATGGTTTAAATTCATGATATAACTTTAAGTCAATCGAACTCGCGAAAATTGATACTTCAAAATCAAATGCTTTAGTCAAATTAATAACCCTCTTCACTATGATTAGAATTGATGTGGGAAGATGTAAGTGAGTAATTGTTGTGATAATTTCAAAGGGACTGTTAAAGTTAAGTTTCATTCATTGAAATGACAGATGGATATGACCGCTTAAAACCGGAGGAAGGTGATAATCTGGTGAACAGCTAATTCTTGTAACTTAGCCGGTAGAAAGCCAGAATAACAATACTGAAGTAGAAGGGTTGAATCCTGAGGGAACACAAGTTTTAATCTTACCTTTAACCACCAACCACCGGACAAATTTATCTTCATCAGCAGAAGTTTTTAACTTTTTGCTTTACTTAAGACGTGATACACATTCATATAGGTACTGAACTTAGCAAATTATCTTCTGTTGTAATCGAAAACCTTATCGCTGCACTGGTGGCATATCACAGATGAACAGAAGCTATATAACATGCACTGAGAAGACTGTACAGGTGGCCAAGTACTATGATGAGGTTAGATCGATAAGTGAAGCAGTGGAAGCACTGGCAATTTCATATTAACATTTCTTACAGTCATATAGACAAAAGTGGAGACACCTACACAGCAGTTTTTATGAACGTCGTATTATCAGGTTTAAAGGTCTTCCTTCTTCATTCACACACACCATATGATGTTAAGGCAGATAGTCAGTTACAGTGTTTGACGTATGTCTTGATCACTTCCAATTGATGTAATATTTCGCATCTGACAGCTCAGAATGATCCTAATTTCTGTAC